TTTCTCTTGTGTACTCGCACAGGCGGCCTCCCGGCACGTCACTGGGTGGTTCGCCGTCAGCTTCAGATGTGTATAATAGCCTGCTCTAGTGAGCTCCCTGGAACAGTCTCTTCACTTCGGGACTGTGAATAACTAACTATTAGTTCTACTCCCCACAGCTCAATATCTCCCAGTCTCCCAGTACCGGAAGAGCTATCGGTCTCAGATTCTAAGGACCACTAACTAGAATCGTGATCCAGACTCGTTGATATGAACCATCCCGGTTCCGAGGCTGCGGATACCATATGTTTCCCCACCAAGCTATGAGGCCATGGCAGCGCTGAAGCACGACGATAATGGCGACCCAGAATCCCTTTCTTCTTCTTCAGACATAACTCCAGAGTCTGCAGCGCAATCGCTTCCTCCGAGGCGGCAATCTAGCATTCGATTTTCTGAGAGTACCAAGTCGCATTCTCAAACACCCATGTCATCCTATCGTCGAAACCCCAGCGAGTCGGACGAGATCACTCCCATTCGAACGGCGAACGGACAGTCGGATCGACGGTATAACACCACCGACGAAGGGACTCCCCAAAGCACCCTAGGTTCTTCAACTCTCGGCTCCTCCACCATTGCAGGCTCCGGGCCGGAGGACGATCAAGATGATGGGCAGAAAGACTCCAAACATTCTTGGGCACCACAGTGGTTGAAAAAAATTCCTGAAAAATATGGTTCGGTCACATTGGAGAATAAGGGATCTGTGGCCCGGGACCATCTTGCTCTAGAGAGAACCTTCCTCGCCTGGCTGAGGACCAGCCTAGCCTTTGCGAGCATCGGCATTGCCATTACCCAGCTCTTTCGCCTCAACACCACGATCCAGAGTCGCAGTGAGTCTCTCAGCATACGACAAACGATACCCCTTTCGCCCCTTGTTGGACACTCCATGCCAGCCGAGCTACTGCCATTTCTCCAACAGTTGGCAGCATCAGTTGCTGAAACGCCACCGTCGAATCCGACCCTCGGTCCTACTCTCCTGGACCAACTACTTCTCCTTCCGCCACGCGGGCTAGGCAAAGCTGATACTGCCAATGACTATTCGAGCGAAAATGGCGCGGAGACCGTCACATTAAATAACATTGCTGCCACGAAACTGCGCCATGTCGGAAAGCCGCTTGGAGCCACATTCATTGCCATATCGATTGTGATTCTGTTTATCGGCTTCCATCGCTACTTTGAAGCCCAGCACTGGATTATTCGCGGCAAATTTCCAGCAAGCCGAGGAAGCATCTTTGCTGTGTCTTTTATCACGGGTTCCCTCATCATTGCGAGTTTCGTCGTGGTGCTCGCAATCTCTTCGACAAGTTCTGAGAAAAAGTAATACCAGGTCATGTGTTATATGGTAGGATGGCACCAGGTCAAATCCTTGTTTTCCTGTTTCTGATGGATCGGCGCATTGCTGGACGCGTTGTTTTGGCCGTTGACGAACCGTGAGCGCCGGAGTTCCAGTTTTGTTCAGCTTCGTTGGGAACCCTGATACTTTCTGATTGGAATAAAAAAAGCCAGAGTGGGCTTAACTTTGTCACTCCTGCGAGGTTAATAAAAGGAGTTTCTCAGAGGCATTGCCACATTGATATCCGAAAAATGGTAGAGATGGACGTTTATTTTCCGGTGCGGCTACAACAAGTCGCTTTGGCTCGACCACGGCATGTCCTTCCGCGTGTGTAGAATACACGTACAGGACATGGGAATTTGATGACCAGTGCTTGGTACAGTAGATGGCGGCATTCGTGGGTAGGCAAACAGGCACGGAGTATCTGATCCGTAAGGTAAGGAGTTTTCATATTCAGATAACTATAGGCCTTCGTCCTACTTACAATCACGGAATCTTGAACTACTGTACTGCGATAAAATGCACAACAACTAGGTCTCCCATGCACAATGTAGTCGTAAGCGCACAACTCGTCAGGGGACGGAGCACGTATGTATACCTCATATGAGTACTTATACACGTAAGCAGTCACTAGATCGACCATCAGCGTCAGCCAGCCCCTGCCGAACTGTGGCGCGGTAGGCGAGAAAGGCGTGTGGTTCGGAAGATTTCTCAGCTATGAAGTTGCTGCAAGTCATCACGATCTCTCCTCGCTTGGTATCTTGGCTTTGGGGGCTCATGGATTTCCAGCCACCATGTATTGTTTCCTTCCACGGTCTCCATGATTACGAGTCCTCGGAGTTGTGTGCCGGCATGCTCGTGCGCGGAAGGGTAAAGTGCTCGCATGCGTACACAAGATTGCAGGATCAGGCAAGTTCGGGAGGGTGAAACAAGACAAGCTACATGGCGTCTGGGAGGCTTTCTGAACCCGCTTGATAAGGTTGTGCCACTTTGCGGTTGTGGTTGGGTGACAATCGATAAGGGCCAATACCGCCACATCTTAGGGGGCTTCATTTCAGTGAAGGCCGCCAATGATCTTTCTCAGATCAAAGTTTTGAGGCGTTCCTGGTGCTGTTTGACTGTTTGACCTTGGGACAGTCCCGCGATTTCTCAGAGTACCGAGTACTTCGTATGTACTCGGTACATACGAGTATCTCCTTCTACCCCCACTGGTTCCAGAAACTAAACTCCTTAGTGAAGGCCACGATAAAAACGTGCGGTGGCTTTAGGGAGCTTGAAAACCGTTGTCGTAGCCACGCTTTGTGAATATTCGAGGTCGCAGCGACGCAAGGACCTCGTACGTACTTGATAGAACCAGGGTACGGCTCTTTGCAAACAGTAGGTACTCCGTGCAAATACGTAGCCTGTGTCATTCAACCCCACTCTAATCATACGTAGGTTCTCATCCTCTCCAACGAGATCCAGTGTGGAGAACGGAGGTCTTGGTTCCATGGCCAGACGCGTGGTCAATAATGGCCTCTGTAACCCGTAAATCACCTTGTAGTACTGGGGAGCAGAAATCGACTGGCTACTATTTTTGATTTGGGCAAGGGTGTCATCTAAGTCTCACAAGGAACTGGCTGCCTGGATGTAAGTCGCACAGCTTAGGCAATAGAAATAGCCACAAACGGATGGATGGTTTATGTCCTTGACGAAGTTGGATCTGTCTGGGATCAGAGTCGTGCCCGAATTGCAGGCTCCAACAGACCATCCATATTATCCAGAGCTCCATTCTGTGCGGGTCTGTTCATTCCAGGTTTTAGGCATACAAGCACTTCCTTGCTCGCGCTGTTGCCATGTTGAGTGGTAGAAAGTGGATTGAACAACTGGTCGCAGTGGAAGAAACTGTACTGCCACAAGTCTCACGTATCCGGTCACATATCCAAGTATTGCTTGTGGTATAACTTCCCCAGATTAGGTCCGCTTGTGTGCGAGTAGAGTAACCATTGTCTCAAAGATATTTTGTGCCCGCAAGCAAGTCTCTCGGCAGATACGAGTACTTGGTTCGAAGATATGTGCTAAGATGTCCAGTTCTTGCCGTGTGCCAGTATCTTTTCGATCGTGTGCCAGTAGGAGATTGGGGGTATAGTATAGGAAGCGACTCCTTCGTAGAGTGCATGCGTACAACGACAGAGTAGAGGTTGCGTGGCCTCTATCTCGGGCTGCTTTGATCTAGGCTGTGGAGGAGCGTAGCAATGTCTCTGCGAGGATGATTAGCCTCCTTATCGTGTGCACAATCAATTATAGGCTCGTTTCTCCCCTTAACACCACGACCTTTTTATCACCACTTTCGCCTGATCATTGTATCCACGTTGAAAAATCAAGGCCATTGCCAACGGTCTGCAGGCGGCTGTTGTTGGCCTCTGGACGGCCGTTGCTGTGTTCACATTCGTTTGTCTGTAGTCAAAGTCCCAAGCCAATGACAGTATCACTAGGTAGGGATAGCCAGCTGCATGATGGGACAAAATAACTTTAGATCCTAAACTAGCTTTGTTAGCTGGCGATCGAGGGCGCTCCTAGTGGGGCTGCAATTTCTTTGTGGTGCAATCCTCGTGCAGTCCTTTGAACCTCCAGGGGTTGCCAATGGACAGGTGCAGGGATGCGCTCCAGGCTTTACCTGTTCCTGAGCGGCAACTGGGCCACCCCCAGACACAAAGGAATCACCCCCGAGAGATCATGGCGCCCAGGATTGCGTCTGTCGTCTCCCCTTTCCCTTTTCTTTCCCAACCTGCATAACGAGCTCGTTCCATTATAGACCTAACTGAACACTGCATTTTCACTCTTGTTCACCACGACTGTCCTTCTTTTGTCCTCTACTCATCCTCCTCTCTCCGTCACCCTCGGTCGACTCACGTTCATTACCAGAGAGACATTTCTCTCGTTCGCTCCTTTTGCACAGAATCTTCGATCGAACCGCCAGCCTCCCTTCGCATCCCTCGCTTCGAAAATCACCAGTGAGCACTCGAGCCTCCGCGTCCAACATTCCAGCACTGATCATATGAGTCTCTGGCTTTGTATGCCCTCCTGACCTGCAAACGGCCTCGAACCGCCCCTTGCTTTATTCGCCTCTTTCACGGGCAAATTCATTCTCAAATATTGGAATCAGACAAAGAACTAACACGCGGGTCGTGCATACACAGGGTCGTCAGGCTTGATCTTTTTCAGTCTCACATAGCATACATTTATCACGCTCCCTATCATAGCCGGTCTTTGACAGACTGTTGCGGACACCCTTTTCGAGAACCACACCGGAGTCAATATGCGGTTCTCATCGGTTGCCTTGACGGCAGTCGCTGCCTCTGCCACCCTCGCCCAACCTCACGTTCACAAACATCGACACGTGCATGAACACAAGGAGCGCGATGTGACCGAGACTGCCTGGACTGCAGGCCCGACTGCCTACATCTATATGCTCAATGGAAAACAGCTCTCGGCCGGAGAGGTGTGCGAAGGGTTGGAGGATAACGAACTGAAGTTTGTGGATGGTCAAGATCCCGGTGTTTGCTCGCAGGTTTCAACCACTGCCAGCACCTCTTCGACTTCCTCGACTTCCACGGAATCGAGTACGATCCCTTCAACCACCACTACCTGGTCGGCAGCTGCCTCTTCCTCTCCACCAGCCGAGTTCTTCCAAAAGCCATCCTCGGCCGCTTGGCCCAGCCCAAGCGATTCTGCCAGTTCTAGCTCTGCTCCTCAGTCTTCCTCCGTGTCCTCGGGCGGCGCTGGTATCACTGCTGAATTCCCGGATGGTCAACTCGATTGCAGCACTTTCCCCTCCGACTATGGCGCCATTCCTCTGAACTACCTGGGAATGAAAGGCTGGTCTGGATTGCAAGCGGTCTCTATCGCTGGCGGATTTGTCAATCATATTGTGACAGGTATATCGGGCGAGTCTTGCTCAGAGGGAATGATGTGCTCCTACGCTTGCCCTCCAGGCTACCAGAAATCTCAATGGCCCTCCACCCAAGGTGCTACAGGTCAATCCGTCGGCGGCCTTTCTTGCTCGGGCGGCAAGCTTCATCTGACCAATCCAGGTCTCTCAAAAAGCCTCTGCATTCCTGGCGTTGGCGGCGTCCAAGCTACCAACAACGCAGGCGGTGTCGTTGCTATCTGCCGTACAGATTATCCTGGGACCGAATCCGAAACCATCCCAGTTGAACTCCAGTCTGGCGAAACAGAGCAGTTGACTGTTCCCGATGCTGCCACCTACTACGAATGGCAAGGACAATCAACTTCGGCCCAGTATTATCTGAACCCTATTGGAGTGTCTGCTTCTCAAGGTTGCCAATGGGGATCACCTGGACAAAACATTGGTAACTATGCTCCCATCAACTTTGGCGTGGGTGCCAAAGGAGGCATTACTTGGCTATCGATCTTCCAAAACTCCCCAACAACCAATGCCCAATATCAAGGCACCGTTGAGTTGAAGGGCAATTTGTCCGGATCTTGCAAATACTCAAACGGGCAATATTGTGGCGCTAGTGGATGCAACTCGCAAGGATGCACTGTAAGTCAACTCTCCAATTCTCTCTTAGACACTGAGTAAGGCTAACCGCGTCATAGGTCTCCGTCATATCGGGCACTGCTACCTATGTCATCTCCGACTGAGCAAAGCATCGGAACAATATCTCCCTGTACATGTTATGATATTCTTTGCTTTCGTATCGCGTATCACACCTGGCGTTGACGTCTGGTTTTCCCTTGCTCATTTTTCATTGTTGGTTTAGAGCGTGGTGGGACCTTCAGGATCTACAGTGGTCAATGATGTCTTGTTGGATATTTGGTATATCGTGAGAGCGGACCTATCGGGGCCAGGTGGATTGAAATGTGCCACGGCAATGTACTTGCTCGGCTTGAGCGTCCGCCACACGTGGGATACTATCAAATCTGGTCGGCTCCGTCTCCGTGTACAAGAGACCCCATTCTGCTGGAGATGGAACAGAAGGAATGTCATCAGGGACGAATCGTGGTTGCTTGATGTTGACTCATATTTTCTGCGAGACAAGCGATGCACAGGCGACTGTGGAATAAAGGGCAAATGGAACTAATCGCAGGAAGATTTGGTCCGATTGAAGATGTGACGACTGACTACCTCTACTTGGTCAAATCTTTGATCAGCTTTGGTGTCATTTGCCTCTCTACACACGTCTAGTTTGAATATCAGTATCAGGTACTTGGAAAACGGATCAGGCTGATGTAAGGAACCTCGAGTTGGAACAGGAGTCTCAGAGCCTGGTTCGACCGATGTATCTCATGTTCCAGTATCCAACAGGCTTGTCTGGATGTAGCAATAGTGTACAAATACTACTAGAGGTGTTTCATTCTCGCAACTGCGAGTAGTAAACATATTACACGTGATTTACCCGGACAGCGCGAGCGTGTCGAAGTTAGTTTTGTTTGTTATTGATGTGCAAGGAGATGCAAATCCCTGGGAGCCACGCGTGGGTCTGGAATTTCTTCAAATCTTTCAATCTCATCCTGAGACGATCACAGTCCCCGCTTGCTCAAATCACTTCCGCTAGTCGACGACCGTTTCCCTATGGGTTCCAATCCTTGGGACGAGGGCTTATGAGTACTCGTAGGTACCCATATGGCCATATGGAGCGATAATCAACAGTCGGACATTGCATCCAAATCGGGAGGTCCTGTCAACAGCATCTGATCCTCCCTGGCTTGTGCTGTGAGAACCTCGTACTCGTAGAGAAGAACCACAACATCACCAACTAATGATCGACACCCTTCTACCAGCTACGAGTTCAACTAGCAGGTTGATGGCCGACTCTCAAATACCTCTCACACTAACTTTGGGAGAACTTGCAGGACAAGAGTCCACTCTCTCTGCCGGCACAGAACCTGATCTTCCTCCTCTGTGCTGGGGCCACACGCCGCAGTTCCCACCCCCGCGACGTCTGCGTCGAGCCGCCAAAGGGCCCCTTTCCTCCGCTTGCCTGGCTCGAGTAGGTCGCACGGGTGTTTTGCCATCTCGACCGTGGCCGCGTCGTAGAGTTGCGTGGAAAACTGCATGTGAGGGCTATCGCGCTTAGGTGTGCCGGGGAGATACGTCGCGCGGAGGACGGGGAAACGACTCGTTGGAACTGGTGTCCTTTTCCCACCAGCGACGTCGCGACCGGCTTCCTCGCCGCCATCGTCTCCAGTGACTATGGTGGGATCGGCATCAGCTGATATTGCTGCCGCGACCGTGCACCATCGGACATCACACCGATTCCCATTCTCTTGTGGCACCTCATAGTGCTCCGCCATGTCATCGATGTTACATTGCCAGATACCCATCTGCTGAGAGAGGTACTTGTCGTTGTATGATTCCAACGGCCCGCGGCCAAACCATTTGACATGTTTATATTCTGGAGCGAGTTGGATGGAATGCCCGACCCGAGGGAGATTGTCGGGATGCGAGCCCCGTGGTATAAGACGCGTGTGGATTTGTATTGTCAGCCCAGTCTGTGTACCTGCGGCGGAGGGGGTGCTGTTGGGGTCACTCGACCCCGACCCAGGGCTCGAAACGGTACTGATTGTGTAGGTAGTCATGGCGTTGAAATGCCAGGCCTGACTCGGCGGAGAGAGCGCATGTTCGGCCTCCAAAGTCACCGCCGAAACCTCCACGCTTCCGTTGGCCAGGGATGCATGGATCGACGTCGAGGTAGTCAGGCTCGAACGCACGCACGCTTTGAAACTCTTCAATCGACTTGTCATCATATGTAACCCGTATCTTTTCCATTCATCCGACTGCCATGCGTTGTCATTGTCCGTCGGCGGCCGCCAGAAGTCCAGGGACAACAGCGGCGAGGGTGAAGCTGGGTTGTGGCTCTCAACACGCGTATCGGCAAGGAGTGGATTCGAGTTATGGATCAGCGAGGAGAGTTGGCCGCGGACCCGGTCAAAGGTTACGGTGGTCGAGGAGTTGCAGATTTTGTACTCCAGGCTGGTTGCGGAGAATGTGAGCGATGGTTTGCTGGAGGAGGCTGGTGTAGATGTAGGCGTTCCTGAGTTGCTTCCATGCTTCGAGGAGATGGTGCTGGCGTGGGATGGCGCGGGATCTGTGGCAAGCGCTCGCAGCGGACTCTGAAACCAGGCTATCATCTGGCCGGCGTTTGCCCATGGGGTATCCCTTTTCAACCGAAAGGTAACCGTGAGATAGCGTTCGTGGGCACCCTCATGTTTGAAGATATCTTGTGGCAGATGAATTCTACCCTGCTCCCCAGGAGAGACCAGAGGAATGGCCAACACCCCGGCAGCAATGAGATTAGAGCTATGTACGAACTCGTCAGGTATAGTTCCATATGATTGTCTGAAACGAAGACAGGGTAGAACAAACCTCTCGCCATGTTCTTGAGCATTGTACTCTGCTCTGACATGCTCCAATCCGATGAAATCGTAGTGATTATGGACAACAAGATCCTGCCCGTCAAGCACGGCCTCGATTGGCTCGTATATCTTCCTTAGTTCTACCAAACCCCGTGAGGGCGTATGGTCACTGTGGCAGAGGCCATCCATGACAAAAGTACCATCGTTCGGCACGTCACCAAAATCGCCACCATGCGCATAGTATTTTTTACCGTCGACATCTTCTTTCCACAGTCCATGATTCGCCCACTCTCAGATGAACCCTCCTTGAAGCCGTCTCTGTGAACGGAAAAGGGACCGGTAGGTGTCCAAAAGCCCGGGACCATTGCCCATTGCATGAGCATATTCGCATAGTATGATGGGCTTTTCGAAATCATCACCCTCGGACTCTGCTTCTCTCTGCAAGTCAGCAGGAGACGTGTACATGTGTGAAATCATGTCGGTCGTTCTGGCTTGCCAGTCTGGCTCGTAGTGTATCAGGCGGCCGGGATCGCGTTTCTTCGCCCACTTGGACATAGCAGCATGATTCCGGCCATAGAATGCTTCATTTCCCAGCGACCAGATGATAACGCTTGGATGGTTCTTGTCACGTTCGACCAATTGATACATACGGTCGAGATACGCAGACTCCCACTCAACGTTGTCCGAAGTGTAATCTGCGGCGTCCTTCGATGTACGCTGCACCTTTTCCTCGTAGTTTAGACCTTCGAGGTTGAGCCCTGAAGCCGCCGCAGTTGCGAAGCCGTGGCATTCGAGATCTGCTTCATCGATGACCCACAAACCGAGCTCGTCGCAGAGCCCAGGCAGACTCGGATGAGAAGGGTAGTGGGAACAGCGCACTGCATTGATATTGTGGTTCTTCATTAGAAGAAGATCGCGACGGACCCAGTCTGATGAAACTGCACGGCCGAGGTGCGGATGGTTGTCATGGCGGTTGGAACCCTGGAATAGAATGGCTTTCCCGTTGACGCGGATGTTGCCATTTTTGACCTCAACGGAGCGAAAACCCACTGCGTGGTTGATGGAATGAATGGGGTTAGCACCGCCCATAGCGGACGAAAGGCGTATCTCTAGGGTGTAGAGATAAGGCGTCTCTGCAGTCCATTTGTGTGGGTTCAGGACTTTGATCGAATGTGAGTACTTTGTAGATTTTGATGAAAGGGGAATGTGCTTCTCTTTCGTGATAAGTTTGCCGTTAGTATCTCTGAGGTCTAATGACAGGAGGCATTCATCTTGTAAAACCAAGTCGATGTCAACGTCCAGTGCCGCATCTTCGTACTTTTCGTCAAGCTGCGTCTTGATAAAGAAATCCTCGATTCGCGCCCGGCCCGGAAGCGCTATGAGGTGAACATCGCGAAAGATACCGGAAAGCCACCATTGATCTTGATCCTCAATATAGCTTCCAGAGCACCATTGAAGAACTTTGACCAGAATATGATTGGGCTTGCCTCTTCGTACATGCTTCGTGATGTCGAATTCTGCTGGGTTCCTACTCCCTTGAGCATAGCCGACCTCCACTCCATTCAACCACAAATAGAAGGCGCTATCTACGCCGTCGAACCTCAGTCTCAGCTGGCTGTCCTCGCTGAACGTGGAGGGTAAGCTAAAGACTCGACAGTACGTCCCAGTGGGATTCTCCGTTGGTGCGTCAGGTGGACAGACGGGAAAGGGATAGACAATGTTGGTATAATGAGGTCTGCCATAACCCTGCAATTGCCAATGGCCGGGAACATCGATGGGTGCCCAAGCGACATCCTGTGTTTCGGGCTCAAAAGGGGATCGGCTGCTGAATGTTTTACAATCAGGCGCCTGCTGGGGAGTTTGAGAGTAATTGAAAGCCCATTTCCCATTCAAACAGACCGCCGTGTCCGGAAGATAGTAGGATCGAGGGGCGAGACGGTTGCGTTGAAAGATTTTCTGATTGCACCAATCTGGAGTCGATTGATTCTGTGCTTGTATTGGCGTAGTTTGGACCCTCTCCATTGTGCGGTTTCCTTCATCATCGTCTACCAGCTGCATCTTCAAAGACAATGAACCGTCAAGTGTGCGGAGAGGTAGCTGTCCTGGCAGTGTTGTATCCCAGACAAGTGCCAGCGAACTTGACAAAGTCGCGCAAATCAATTTGCTGAGACCGGGCGGAGATCGCCAGGCCATATACCGAGTACGTGACGACCAATCCGAAGGAGTTCTCACAACGCATGAGAAAATGCGGGGTTCCTAAGGCTGAACATCGGAATACATTCCTTCTTCGCATATAACGAGGCTGCAGCCTTGTGCGCGTTACGTAAGTGAGATCAAGACTGCGCCAATACAATCCTTCCGCCATGGGTGTCATCAGGGCCAGAAACTTGACATTCCAAACGGGACATATGGTATGTGATGGCAGGGCAGTTCATGTTGCGGCAGCGTCTGGGCAATGACATGACTGCTACAACAGTGGGAGCCGACTGGAAGAAGGGCATGTAAAGCGCCTGTATGGGACTTCCGGAAACCCGCTTTTGTCCCTACGACCATCGCTGTGGTCATTCTCAAGGATATTGGGAAATTTTCCCGGTAAGAAACAGCAAGACGGTATTTCTGAGGCATCTGCCAGGTGACATAAACCCTGCTATCCACTCACCATCAAACAGATGGAGTAGTCTGGTCAGGAATAGGGTGTGTTGAACCCCAGGTTTGCCCTCATTCACCAGGTCAACCGCAGGGAATTGCTCCCGCCGCCATGTCCAAAGCCAGGATATTACCAGAGACTAAAACCAGTTGAGGCAAAGTTGATCGTCGTGTAAACCAAAAAAGGATGCAACAACGACACAGTGAGGGTGGCCAAGTCAGTTTGACGTCAGAATCAAGGAACACAACATCAACTGGAAAGATCCCACATTCTCTCTGCTGCATGGAGGTTAGCGATGCCCAGGTCGACAAGTCTGTCAAGAGCATGGCCCATCTTTGGAAATGGCCCACCTCGACCGGTTCCGATCGACAGCTACTTTGCACTTGTACAAGCATGATTTCGAAAATGAGGGGCATGCAGAAGGGGCGGAAGTGGGAGCCCCGGAAGTGTTCTGGCAGCTTTGTCTCAGATTCTCAGACTCGGTGTTGCCAAGCGCAAGCGCTGATTGGTCCTCTTAGCGCTGAAGCGCGGACCAATTAAATGCCCTAGAGGGTCATTTTGTCAAACGAGTCTAAGCTCCAATACGTACACTTATATAAGCCATCGCGTTCACGGCGTAATCTTAAAATACTACCCTTATAAATCGGTGTAATCTACAGTACTAGCCGGAAATTTTCGCGAAAATATAGTACGGTGAAGTATAGGA